ACTGCTACTGAGCTCTGATTGGTTGGTATTACTGCTACTGAGCGCTGATTGGTTGGCATTACTGCTACTGAGTGCTGTGTGGTTGGTATTAGTGCTACTGAGCACTGTGTGGTTGGCATTACTGCTACTGAGCACTGTTCGGTTGGCATTACTGCTACTGAGTGCTGTTTGGTTGGCATTACTGCTACTGAGCGCTGATTGGTTGGTATTACTGCTACTGAGTGATGTTTGGTTGGTATTACTGCTACTGAGCGCTGATTGGTTGGCATTACTGCTTTTGAGTGCTGTTCGGTTGGCAATACTGCTACTGAGCTCTGATTGGTTGGTATTACTGCTACTGAGTGCTGATTTGGTTGGTATTACTGCTACTGAGCGCTGATTGGTTGGCATTACTGCTTTTGAGTGCTGTTCGGTTGGCAATACTGCTACTGAGTGCTGATTGGTTGGTGTTACTGCTTCTGAGCGCTGATTGGTTGGCATTAGTGCTACTGAGCGCTGTTTGGTTGGTATTACTGCTACTGAGCGCTGTTTGGTTGGCATTGCTGCTACTGAGCGCTGATTGGTTGGCATTACTGCTACTGAGCGCTGTTTGGTTGGCATTGCTGCTACTGAGCGCTGATTGGTTGGTATTACTGCTACTGAGCGCTGATTGGTTTGTGAAATCTTTGTTCTCTCTTCTCTCCATGTCACTGCTTTAAGGCTTAACCGAATGTGTACTCTTCTTGTAACAACCTCCATGTCTCCTACATCCACAACCAGCATTTCTCAGGTATGACAGCAGCTTTACTTACATTTCTTTCTGTAGCATGTTTGTTTTTGTCAGTTTTTTCCACCATTGTAATCATAATTGCTTTAAATAAATATTGTTGCTGTCGGGACAATCCTTGTATCTCCATTTTTGTTGTTTTTCATTTTTTGACATAATTTGAAAAAGCCAGTTGTCCTTTAGGATGTCTCAAAATTTCATGATGAATGGACCAACAGAAATGAACTGAACTGAAATTGCTTGGAAAAATATTTATCCATTTACATCCATTAAAAGAAGAAGAACATTTTTCTTTTTCATGTAAAGTGGAGACACAAGCTTTTGTTCTAATGGCAGCGATATGTCTGTCTTTGCTTGATGTCAGTATTTTAGACTGTAACAAGACGTCACCACAAGTATGTCTATGTTTGGCTCTGTCATGATTGATTTATTGACTGACTGTAATAACCATGAATAAAGAACAGTTTCGTAACTTTTTAAAATGTCTTCTCCTGGGGGTCTTTGCTGATATCATACATGAAAAATTGGTGAAGTTCACAGTTTTGAGTGGAAGATAGGGCACTGACATGAATTGTGTGGATTCCATGAGTCCATAGGTTCTCCTTTCTGCAGCACAGACTGTATTTCTGTGTCTTACCATTCAAAATAAACATATAGCATCACTTATGCACTGTAAAAAATACTAATTGCTTGGTAACAAGCAATTGAACTAGTTTTATTCAATCAAAATTGCATTGATTGAAATAATTGTTCATTCAAAGTATGTATTTAGGTTGAATAAAATTAGTTAATTTATTTGTTACCACCTGAAGTATTTTTTTTAGGTTGAACTGAAAAGTATCTTTTTAACTGTGTGAAGCTGATGTTGACTTGTATTCATATTTCTGTGCCACCTCAAATAGTGGAATGAAAACATTGAGATTTAATGTGATTGAGAGGCTTGAATGCTTGTACAAGTTTAGTTACTCGACAGAAATATGTCTGTATATATTTTTTGGATTAGTCTTATCTGTATGTGTTGTCTGATGAGTGTTTATTACCAGTTTTTCTTACTTTTTCTTACTTTTTCTTCATTTTTGATGCAGCCATGAAGAATCCACCCTCACAGGCTGCACGTGACAAAGAAATTGACCAGACACCACCACATCTGTTAAGAGACGAGTGTGTTTAGCACAGATGGGTAGGCTTCATGTTCATTCTTGTGCTGTCTCTCTCTCCCACACATACCTATACACTCACTGGCCATTTTTAAGGTACTCCTAAATTACAGATTGCTGCATACCTTTTACCCCCCTTTCACCCTGTTCTTTAGTCGTCAGAACCCCCACAGGACCACCACAGAGCAGGTATTATTTGGGTGGTTTATTGGACACAGTAATGATGCTGGAGTTTTTAAACACTGTTGCCACTCACTGTCCACTCTTTTAGACACTCCTACCTTGTTGGTCCACCTTGTAGATGTAAAGTCAGAGGTGATAGCTGATCTGTTGCTGCACAGTTTGTGTTGGTCATCCTCTAGTCCTTCATCACAGGACGTTGTTGTTTTCTTTTTTTTGTTATTCTCACTCCAGTGACACTGAGGCATTTAAATCATTGCTGTATCTGATACACTAGTACCAGTACCACACATACTGCCATGCCAGTGTCACTGCAGTACTGAGAATGAGATAATAATAATACCTGCTCTGTGCCGGTCCTGGTTGGGGTGCTGATCATTGATGAATGAGGTGAAAGAGGTAACAAATTATGCAGAGAAACAGATCAACTAAAATCTGCAATTGCAGACCTATAAAGTGCACCTATACATTAGTTGGACCTGATTAAATGGAAAATGAGCATAGATGCAATGTACATAATTAAGTGACCATTGAGTGTGTACATACAATATAACGTAAGTACAACAGTGAACTGCACACACCAGTTTAGTTTGTAATTTCTTGGTAAACACCACTGTAGCTGTTTCTTTACTTATGTAATTGTTATTCCACTCATTTTGTCTGAATTATAAATTGTTCGGTAAACAAAGAAATAAAAGTTAATATAACTCAAAGAGCTTTGCTCAAGACTAGTTGTACTTCTTAGTACAACACATCGCCTCATGTTAGCTCAAATAAATATTTCTTTTAAAAGAAAATGTTACTATAACTAAGAATTTACAAAAATTGAGTGAACAAGAAAAAAATGTATGATTTTATTTTTTTGTGCAAGCTAAACTTTTTTTACATTGTATCTGTGAGCAGAGGGTCTGAGGCTGAGACTAGACAAGACTTTACAAAACCAGCGTAACTCTGCAGTCATGTCCATATCTGTATTTTGAAGTTTCCTAGTTTCCTATCTGAGCTAGTAAATTGATCAAAAGGTGTGGCTAAAAAGGGTGACTGCTGATTTTTTACTGTTGACTACTGACAATTTTTAGTGTGCTAAAAAATATTTCTAATTATTGGCAGACTCTGTTTAGTAGACTCCTTCTATCTGTATAAAGCATATGAGTCTTTGTACTAACATTAGGCATGAAGTAAATGAAAATTTGGTGTTAAGAAAGACAAACTCCATTGACCTGAATGCATTTTCTGGAATAATGGCTGTTCACTTATTTAAGTTAACATAAATCAGGAAAAATATAAATAAGTTAACATAAATTTCCTTCCTATGAGAAAATAAGAATTTTGTCTTTTAAACAACACATGATCTAATGAGGTAAACAAAGTACATTTTTAATTTTGATTTGGACTAAATTTTGCACACGCACACACACACACACACAGGGCCACATTAGAGTCATACTGCCCTCTCCCCACTCACCCACTGGTTACCTAAGAAAATATCTTGGTTTGACTGAAGACTCATTCTATTGATTCTTCACAAAATATCTACACCATAGTTAACTTCTCAGCTAAGACCTTGCCAACATTAGTCAGGTATGCCAATGAGAGGGCATCACCTCACTGAAGATCACTGTAGGATGGCAAAATTATGCTCTCTGTGTTTTACCAACTTATAGATGCCAGTGTCTGCCAAATTTACATGATGATGCTTTTTGGATATTTTTGGCTGTTGTGGTGTGTGAATACATTTAAGGTAACCTGAATGTCTTCAGAAGTGTTAACAGATTAACATAATTTAAAACTGTGCACTTTTTGGAGCAGACTTTTGGTAGCATTGGGTGCTCCTGGGCAGTCACCGAGGTCACCCTTGTGGTGTGAATCTGGCCGCGCACACACATACATATCCACAGAGAGGGCAAAAAATATGTTTTTTGTCAGATAACTAAAACAGGATTATTGACTTCATCGACTATTCATATGACTGAAAGAGGGTGTGAGACAAAAGCAAGCTCAACAAAACTCAGGCTTTAGCCAAGGTAACCAGCTTCACTTATTCAAATATTCATATTTAACTGGTTTTCTTAATTGAATCCTGAACACATTCTGATTAAAGTGGCTGTATCTTACACCAGTTTAAACAGTTGTGGAATATGAAACAAGATAAATCAGTTCATCTCTGAAGAACATGCTATAGCTACAGTGTTATTATGTATAACATTATATGTAATAAGAAAAAGTTAAAAGAGTTGAGAACAGTAACAAAAGGTATGCAGCTTCCAAGGCCCTATTGGGAAAATCTTTTGAAAAATATTTAATGTTATTTAGGCTATGCGCTTGATTTCGTGTAGTCAACTTTATGCCCTTCCAAGGATGCCCTCATAGAAATATGCATACATTATAGCTCTTCTATTCTGCTTCCTGTGTAACTGGTGGCAGGTGTTTTAGCACTACAAGACATTGGAGACTCATGTGAAATGGCATGCAAAAAGTTTACAGCCGCTGAATTCACTGCAGCGGTTTTGGAAAGTAGCAACAAAGATGACGAAGCATTTTGATATGAAACATATGGATATCATGTTATGTGCAAGTGCCTTTAAAGGTGAATTTAAGAAGATATGCAAAATTGAGAAAATGCCCTCAGATGCCAGAAGTTTAATCAGTAGAGCCAAGTGACAATTTAGTATTATCATAGGGTCTCTCAACTAAGCTCCACCCCAGTGCCATTATGTTCATCTTTAAGGAGTTTGTAACCCCTTCTGACATTTGAAACAGCATGCTGTTGCTGATTCTTACAACCCAGACCACTGGGTTATTCACAGAATCAGGCTTGTGTTCTGTTATATAGTGATGCAGCGTTCTGATATGTAAATTACCAAGCACTTTTTTAAACATTTGTAAAATTAATTATGTCATCTTTGCATGATCCCATTTAAACAAAACAGTATGTAAGGTGACCCTGGAATAACTGCTGCACAGAGAGCCACAATAATCCCTAAATTCAGATTCTGAGGCACTAAAGCCAGAAAAGCTCCAACTACAGCTCCTATTACTGCTCCTGCTCTTCCTGCAAGTCCTCCATATCTCTGTCCCAAATCTCCTGCTGCATTGAGGGCCATGCCAGCCCCCCCAGATGCAGCCAGCAGACCACCCAGCGATGCCCCAGTGCCCAGCATGTTAGATGTTTTCAGTAAGGATGTGAGCACTCCAAATGTGGCAGCCACTGCACCTATGCAGACGTCAGTAGCCCCCTCAGTGACAAAATAGGAGAACAGCGCGGCCCCACAAGAAGCCTGAAACATCTGAATACCGAGGGCGAGAACAAAGAAGCGCTCCAGAACTAGTAGAGCAGGTATAGTGAATTCAGCTGGATCTAATAAAGGAACTGGTTGGTCTTTATCATGGAAGGAGCTCCTGGCTATGAGAACTGTAGCAATCATAATGCTTGGTATCGCCACAGCTTTCTTGCTGAGATGGAATTTATGAAACAGGCAAAGCAGCAGAGATGGAAGAATGAGGGGCAGCAGAGACCCCAAGTCTAAGAAAAAAATGAATTCTGTGCCAAAAAACAATACGGCCATTAGACGCTCAGAATATATCAACAAACATACCATAAATGACACAAAAACACTGATACAGCCATAGAAAAAGCCAGAAAAAGCACACAGTAATAAGGATATGATTGTGCTGGCCAGTGTGTGCCATAACATGAATGTTATACCAGAATTCACTGAAAAGACTTTAAAGATAAAGTTAGAAAAAAATATTTCCAAAATAGCTCCTAGTGCAGCTCCAGTCACTGCGACTCCAAGTACAGCCACAGACGCAGCCAGAGCTAAAGCCTTTCCTGAGGCATCTTCCCATCTCTGTCTTTTGGCCACATTATAAGCTTGGCGTCCACCTACTACTCCAGCCGCTGATGACAATGCGGCACCTAGTAGAGACATGTAGGTGACATATGAAGAAGTAATAAATGGGTAAAGTTCTGAAATCTTCATTGTGAGCTCTGTCTGACTTCGTGTAGCATCTTTTAAAAAGCAGACCATCTCTGCAGACATGGCTCCCATGCAGCCTCCAGCCACCAGTCCAAGGCCCAGCGCTCCAAACTTATCTACAACAGAGCAGAGAGTATGTTAAACCCTGTAACATACATTAGTGCTTAATACACAACATGGTACAAAAGTATGTAGATACTCCTGTTAATTAGTGAGTTTGGCCACACCCTTGCTAAAAGCATACACAGCCTGTGTACGTGGGCAGTATAATGGGCTGTACCAAAGAATTCAGTGACTACCAGCACAACACAGTGATAGGATGCCGGTTTGCCAACTTCCTGCCCTGCTGGCGCAAGATCAGGTCCATAAAGAAATGGTTCACCACGTGTAGTGTGGAATAACTTGACTGGCCTGCACAGAGTCCTCATTTCAACCCCATTGAATGCTAGGGATGCATGATGATATCAGAATCATACTGGTATTGACAGATATGTGCACAATTAGAACAGAAATGTCTACATTTTGTGAAGGTTTATGTATTGGCATCAGCACATATGTTCATGAAAAATATCGCATATCAGCATGAGCCCACAATTCCCATATTGCTGCGTCCCTATTGATTACCCTCAGGCTGAATTGAAACACAGACTGTGAGCCAGGTCTTATCACTTAACATCGTTGCCCAGCCTGGCTAATGCTCTTGCGGCTGAATGGAAGCAAATTCCCACAAAAAGTGTTCCAAAATCGGATGTAAAGCCTTGTCAGAGAAGTGGAGGCTGGTGTAGCAGCAAATGGGAGATGAGCTCCATATTACAGTGTCCCACTACTGGCTCACGCTGCTGTAGAGGCTCTGGAAGCATGACCATATAGAGAGCCATGCGAAGAGGCTCATGGGAGCGGTGGGTAAACAGATACTGGTCGGGAAGTTCAGCGGTGGCTGCAGGCGGTGGGTTGAGGGCAGTGTGGACAGCAGATGGCCCATTGCACTCTCCATCACAGGCTCTGGACCGATATCCCTACTATAACCAGGCGTGCTCACGCACACCAAGAGAGGCACATCAAATGGCTGGAAGGTGGCCATAGTCCAGCTCAGGTCAGTCACCAGCGGTGCGCACAAGTAGCAGCGTCAATGGTGCAGTGGGAGGTGGAGAAAGTGGATGGCGACCGGGTGGAGTGCCGTTGCGGCTGCTGTCGTGGCCTGGGGGCCTTGGGGTACTCGCCGCCTAGGAGGTGTGAGTGTTTTGTGTTGGGAAGCCTACGGCTGGTGGTGACCTCCCCCATGAGTTCAGTGCTTTGTAGGTGCCTTTCTGCGAGGTCTTTAATAAAAAGCACTTCTCACAGCAGGATCAAAGCCTCCCCTGTGTCTAACTCTATGCCAACAGCACAATATTAATGCCCTTTAATGAGATTTCATTCAGGTGTATGCATACTTTTGGTCATGTTGTGTGTATATATATAAAAAAAAACAGACAAAAAACTTAAAATAGACAGAAAAAGAAACTCACTGCAGATAGAAGAGGATTTCACTCTGGATCTGTAAGCACAACAATAAATGAAAGAGATGTTTGGAAATTTGCTGTATATTTGATATCTGTTAAAGGAAGTGTTTATAGATATGTTAACTGATAGTTGTGCGTAAGATTCATGTGTCTCTAATCACATTTCAAGAGTGTTGGCTTTTAAATATGAACGCAGAACTTCTGAACTTACATAATGGATGTAGTTAAAGGTGGAACAGCAGGTTCCGTCAACTGTATTTGTATCTCTGCCATATCTGTAGGAGCAGAGGCTTTTGTTATAGTCATACCGACTAATGTACCCTTGTAGTGTTCATTTGAAGGCAAAAATAGGAGGCACACTACAACCAAAGCAGGATGTATTCATGTATTAATGAGACTGAGATAAAAGTTGTTTTAATTATAAACCTTAATAATATATTGAAGAAAAAAGCAATATTTTTAGTCATTATCTCTGTGAAGTATGTCCTTAACTGCAATAACAGCAGTGATAGAAAAGTTTCGGTAGAAAAGTTTGATATTCCTTGAGGAAATCGGAGAAAAAGATTAGAGAGACTCATAATTCTCCCCGTTTTCAACAGTATATAGAAAATGCAAAGCTATGGGCACAAGATGCAATTATAATAGTTCCACTTGTAAACCTGAACAACAGCATTCACATTGGTGTATTATATTCAGGGTGGCATGTAATGGTTGAAGGGCAAATCAGTTTCTTTGGCATTACACAGATGGCAGCCTACCAGTCCCCAACAGGAATTAAAAAGTCTAATTAAAGATGGTCTGTTGCACGATTTAGTCCAGAAGCTCTGAAGAAAGTCACTAACTTTGTGAAACTGTTCTGTGGAACAAGTTTTGGAATGTTCAACTTAACCCTTTTAGTTTCAGCACCACACAGAACCTGATCCTGAATAGAAGCAGAGATCTTATAAACCAAACTCTTACTGATATAGCATGGTGTTCTTGCCGAGTAGGGGAAATCGAACCCCTGCCGGCAGCATTGAGGGCAATGGTGTTACCCACAACACTATATAAACCACAATTTTACTGTGTAGTCAGCACTGCAAGGTAGGCACAATGACCCAATATTACTGAACAATTAAAATAATTTGATTATAGTTTCAAATTGACAATGGGCACTGCATTTACAGAAACTGACCTAAATGTGTTCTGGGATCACACAATGAGCACAGAGCACTGATTAGTGCAAGTTAGCAATTTTGTTTGACATTACTTTGTTGCCTTTGTTGTTTACCTTTTAAGTGTGTGTGTGTGTGTACTGTTGTGCTTCATTTGTGTTTTTGTTAGTTGTGTTATTTATTTTCATTGACAGGTTGAAATGTCAGTTCTTTCACATTTACAGTAAAATTTATATTAAAACAAATGAAATATGTATTCTACAAATCCAGAACTTAAATCCTGTGTCCTTTATGAGAGAAAAGCTCCAGCTGCTGCTCCTAGTAATGCTGCTGTCCTTCAACCCCCTTACATGGCCATTGGCCACTTTATTAACAGAAGAATAGCTCAACCAGTTTGCATCAAAGTCTCTGTAGTTACAGAATAATAAGCCTGGGTTTAAAGGGGTTAATGCTGATCAGAAAGCTGAATACTACATAACCCAATTGCTGTATCAGCGTTTGAAGAAACAGTAGCAATCACAAAACACTGTTAATAGTTCTGTTGCAGCTTTGAAATCCTTATTTTCATGCCCAGCTTTTAGACTGCTTATGTTATCTCATGCTTTGTTTATGTTACTCAGTATGTGCCTCTGAAAGGCTGTGAAATACCTAAACAGTTGTGGTCAAAGAGAGATATTAGTGTCATTTCATTTGACTTCAGTCCATGTTTTGCAGATATTTATGTGTTCCCTGTCATTATACAAGAGGACAAATTCATGTCTGCAAGTGGACTTTGAAATGAAATGGATTGCTGGCTTGAAATATACTGTTTTTTTCTAGACTGGATGTTGGTTCTTCATGTTGACTCATGCGTTTTTTATGCTTTATCAATTCCTCAAAAGGTACATCAGCATTGAGGTATAAATGAATGCATAATCCTTACTGTCTTACATGGGTAAATCACCGGTGGGCTCAAAGTTTTATTGCACACTTCATTAACCTCAGAATAGCTCAACCAGTTTGCATTGTCCCTGTAGTCACTGAATAATAAGCTTTAGTAACTTTAGTATCCAGATATTGAAGCTCCAGAGTTTTTGCTATGTTTGTAGTTATAGTCAGGGCCATAGCTAAGTGTGATGGGATTAACAAAATAGAATTTCAGCAGATGTTTAGTGTTCAGATATGAATCTACGCGATGTTTCACTCAAACCTGCACACATTTTCACTCAGTACTCTAAAATTGTCAGTTGAGGTGTTAACATATTTTATAAAAGAAACTCTTTCACTTTCACCATTTGTCTAAATTAAGCATAAAAGCCATGTCCTGTTGTGGTTTTGACTTACCTCCTCTGGTGGCATCAAATGTGATCCGAAGCAGCGTCTTACCTTCTTCTACAGTAGTCATACTTGGAAGGATAGACGACTGTTTATATGAAAAAGATTATTCTATACCAGGAAAGACACACCTTATACTGCAGCATTCCTCAAGGTTACATAGCTTGTTCAGGGTGATGCAGGCTGGCTGAAGAACAAACCAGTACTGGCTGTTTAACCAGAATAACTAAACTTAATCATTAAGAGCAGAAAACTGTTCAAAGCAAGATGTTCCTTCTCCAGTGACTGTCTGTGTAGGAGATTAAAGTGACAATGAACGAGCGGTGTGTTACCCCTCAAACAGAACTCAAAAATGTTCAAAACCAATAACTTTTAAAAGTTATAAACTGTTTAATAGTGTTTGTATAATTTGCATTTTTGTAAAATGTGTTATTATGTGATTTTTAATTTAGTAAGTAAATAAGTACAAGTCAGGAGTACTGAATTCCAGTCCTGGAGGGTCAGTGTCCAGCTCAAACACACCTGGTTTAGCAAATCTGTTAACTGGCAGGTTTTGTAGGCAGGGAAACCACCAAACTGTGTAAACCCTAACCCGCCATGACCAGCCCCAAACTGAAAACCTCTGAAACAGGCTTTTGGAATTTGTGTTTTCAGCTATTTGTGCAGTGTTTCTATTTCTATGTGGTGGGATACAGTGGGAAAGAGTGAGTGATCAGCCTCCTGTTTCTCTCTCTTTCTCTCCTCTCTTTCTTTAGCACAGATACACACACATGCACACACAGTGTTGTGCATGAACATGTTCAATGAACGGCGTTCATTGGACACATTCAGATTTTTTGTGAACAATGAACAGAACGAATCAGTTTACAAATACTGAACTTGAACGCGAGTGGTGTTCACTCTTGCGAGAGTGAATGTCGCTCATGTTTAAAGGCACGCTGCATGACACTTCCATAAACACAGCCAATCAAGTCTGGTGCTAGTAGGAGAGACGTAACTTCAGAAGTTGGTTTGTTTGAGCATTTGAAACAGTTTTATGTTTGTTTGTTTTTTTTTTTGCAGTCATTAAAACATTTGGCTGAATATTGCGCTTTGAGCCGGTACCTTTGTTTACATTACAGTTTTTATCTGGTGTTGTCACAGTAACGGCAGTACAGGTTATTCTGGAGGGTTTTTTTCTATGCAGAGCCTGTTTTTTTCCCATTAATCAGAATTAATCTTTTTTTGTGGTTTTGAACTGCTGCATATGTTATTATAGTCTGAATAAAACTTTCATATACCGTAAACTTTTTCATTGTCAGCATAATATGACGCATTGTTTTAGTGTCAAAATATATTCTCAATCTCAATACTCTTTTTTAATGAAACTTAAAGGTTTAGATGTAACTCATGTGTATGATTGTTAAGTGATATAGAATAATTCATTTAGTTTATGAGTAGCAATGATATTGGGCTGGTGATGGATGGGTAGAAAGAGGTTCTATTGAAAAAAATAGTGGCCTATTTATTGAGAAAAAAGAATCAAATGAAAATGAAGTAGTTCATTTTTTGGAATTGTCAATTTAATTCAAATTTTTAAAAATGAACTATGAACGTGAACTAGTTTATTTTCATTACTATGAACTGAATTTTGAACTAGTTCATTTTCATTGTGAACTGGCACAACACTGCACACATTCCACAGACCTGAGTGAGTCACCTAAGAGTGAATATATGACACTGCTGCCACCTAGTGGTGTTGAACTAGTACATCAAAGCAGTACTTCTTCAGTCACAAAATCAGTCAGAAAATAATTTTATAATTTTATTATAGAATTATAATTATCATTTTATGATAACATAAAAAAAACATGAATAATTAGTACTGAACTATACATGTAACAACCCCAGCACTGGAACAAGGCAACTGTGACAAAATAACTTGCCTCACTGAGGATTTTATTATTATCAGCTCATTACCATCGGTTTAAACAAGGAAAATGCCAATGTTCTATACATAGTGAGAATACAACATTCTCCAAATACTGTAAATGTCTCTTTACAGTGAGTATTTTTTTAACATCAGGCTGAGTTTTAATGGTAGTGTTTTTTTTTATAATCACACAGATATTAATTACACAGATAAGTTCAAGATCATATAACAATCTGAAAAATTGTGATAGAAAAGTAACATGTATAGTGCAACAAGAAGTCACGAGTGGCTTATGGATGGTATTGATGAGATGTAAGCTATGTATTTCTTCCTGTGGGGTAGTATAGTGTTTGATTAGTTTGAGTATGATGGCTTACTTTAGGATATCATCTTAAGTGCTCAATTAAAAAATTCAATATTGGTATAGAAAGAAAAAAAAAAAACTGGTATAATGCCTTCTCTAGTTTACAGTAGATCTTGTTGCCAGTGCTATCGAGAACAGTAAGCATGTGCAAAAGCCTCATTGTTTTGTCCACTTTGTTGCAAATGTCATTATCTACACAATCATCTTTTGTAAATCACCCAAAAAAGCAACTAAATATAATACAGTGTACGACTCTGCACATGCAAATTAGTACATTTGGAATCATAGTAATTCAGGGCCTCAGTCTATAACCTGCACAAAACCTGTCGTTTTTGGGTTAACCCCTTTGAATTTTGAGACAGAAGACATTAAATGAGCTACAAAAACGTTAAAAAACATCACATAATGTTTATAAGCACTATCCTTAATATACTGTTTTCACCAAAATTTTAAGACTTTTGCACTGCCGTTCTGGAAACATTCTGAGAGCCCAGAGAGGTCAAAGGATGGACAATACATATAAAGTAAGATAATGTAAATGCTTACTAAAAAGAATAAAGCAGACAGAATAAAATGTGTGACTTTTTCCACCACGACACTCAATATAAAAAAAAACCTACATAAAAAGTGATAAAAAACATCTAGATAATGTGAACCTGGAATAGCAGCTGCACAGACAGCTACCATTGTACCAAATTTCACATCCTGTGCTGCTAAAGGCAGAAAAGCTCCGACTGCAGCTCCTAGAACTGCTCCTGCTCTTCCTACATGTCCTCCATATCTCTGGCCCAGATCTCCTGCTGCATTGAGGGCCACTCCAGCGCCCCCAGACGCAGCCAGCAGACCCCCCAAAGATGCCCCAGTGCCCAGTATAAGAGACACTTTTGATAAGACTGCTAAAACTCCAGCTGTAGCAGCCATTGCACCTGCGCTGACTTTTACAGCCCCACCAGTGACAAAATAGTAGAAGAGGTCAGCACCACATGAGGCCTGAAACATCTGAATACCAAACACAATGACGAAGATGCGCTCCAGCACTTGTAAAGCAGGTGGAGTGAATTTAGCTGGATCTAATAAAGGCACTGGTTGGTCTTTATCATGCAGCAGGCTTACAGCTATGAAAACAATGGTAGTCATAATACCTGGCATCTTCCCAACTCTCTTACCAATATGTTTTTCTTCAGATCCAAGTATTAGATATAAACAAAAAAATGGAGCAATAATGGGCAACATGGATCCTGTGTCTGCCAAAAAAACAAATCCTGTTTCAACGTAAAGCATGTATAGGAAATAATCGACAGTCATCAAAGCAAGTAAAGAAAGTAATATCAAAGAACAAGTGAATAAGACTGCGGCAAGGCCCAGCACTGAAAAATTGAACACAATAAAGAAACAGTAAAAAACATACAGTAAAACCAACACTATTATGAAGGCAAGTGTGTTCCAAAGCACAAATGATATACAAAAATCATGTGAAAACAGGAATGAGACAACGTTTGATAAAGACGTTTCTAAAATGGCTCCTAGTGCAGCTCCAGTCACTGCCACTCCTAGTACAGCCACAGGTCCAGCCAGAGCTAAAGCCTTTCCTGGTGCCTCTCCTCCTCTCTGTCTTTTCACTAGATTATAAGCTTGGTGTCCACACAGTACTCCACCTGCTGATGACAAGATGGCCACTTGCAGACACACATAGGTGATGTGTACAGTTGATAAAAATGGATAATTTGGATAATTTGAAATTTTCATCCTGAGCTCAGTCTCATTTATTTTAATGTCTTTTAAAAGGTAGGCCATCTCTGCAGCCATGGCTCCCATACAGCCTCCAGCAGAGACTCCAGCCACCAGGCCCAGAGCCAGAGCACCAATCACATTACCTACAGCAGAACAGAGAACATGGTAAACCTCATCATTTTTAGTCTTTTTATGCAAATGATATGTATTGATTTCAGTCAGTCACAGAAAAAGAAACTCACGGCAGATGTGAGAGGATTTCAGTCTGGATCTGTGAACACAACATATGAATATTTCAGTTAGAGGATGTATTTATAGGTATTAAAACTGTAACTTTTATTTTAACATATATGCTTTAGTTGCTTTTCAGAAACAGGTGGGATCTTTAAATTTTATTCATTTGAAGGCAGAATTTCTGGACTCACATGATGGATCTAGGGAAAGGTTCAACAGCTGGTTCTTCCATTTGTATTTGTGTCTCTGCCATGTCTGTAATGATGAAGGCTTTATATCTACAACCCCATTTTCAAAAAAGTTGGGACGCTGTGCAAAATGTAAATAAAAATAGAGTACAATGATATGCAAATCATGTAAACCATTTAAAGGAAAATAGTACTAAGACAACATATCAAATGTTGAAACTGAGAAATTTTACTGGGTTTGAAAAATATTTGCCCATTTTGAATTTGATGCCAACAACATGTTTCAAAAAAGTTGGGAAGGGGGCCTGTTTACCACTGTGTTTCATCACCTCTTCTTTTAGCAACAATCTGTAAGTGTTTGGGAACTGAGGAGAATCACTGCTGTAGTTCTGAAAGTTTAATGTTTTCCCATTCCCATTTCCCATTACACAACTTTACTAGCCTTTTGTTGCCCCATCCCAACTTCTTTGGAACGTGTTGTTGGCAACAAATTCAAAATGGGCATATATTTTTCAAAGAACAATAAAATTCTCAGTTTCAAAATCTGATATGTTGTCTTTGTACTATTTTCAATTAAATATAGGGTTTAAATTATTTTCATGTTATTGTATTTTGTTTTTATTTATTTTGCACAGCGTCCCAATTTTTTTGGAAATGGGGTTGTTCATTTTTCACTGCTTTTTCACTATTTCTATTTATTTGCTGGGTTTAACATATTGGAAGAATGGAAAAATATAACTTTCACACAGGCCACATTTTATGTTTTCCCCCCAAGAGTATGTTGAGTTCAGCAAATAAACAGCAATAATGCATTAAAATGTGCAGATGTGTCTTCCCTGAAGATGTGTTAACTTATTTTTACTTGTAATCTGACCAAGCGTGCTTGAACTTTTGTATAGAATTGTATGCATTTATTAACAAGCCAGAGATATATGTAATGTTAATTATGAGCAATTATAATATATTGTAAAATGTTAACAATTTATTGTTTTTATTTGACAAAAATTGACTAAACAATACCGCTAGTATATTTTTGGTCATAGAGATAAATAGAGGCTCCTACCTTAGAACATTAATTTTGAAAACTCTAAAAACACATCAGGTACAATGTTATAATACACTGCAACTAGTTCCAGTATGATTGTTTTGAAACCTGTTTTCTTTTAGTTCTTTCCATCATTCTTCATGCTTCACTTGATCCTGGTATTAATTTATTTGATGACTCACAATAAATGTAATTTTCATTTGAAAATGAAAACAAAAGTAGAAATTACATTAAAAAACAGAAGTGATGCTAAGTGTTTATTATCCTGGTATAAATGTAGTGTTGATTAGTAACCTCAGTTAAGTGTCTGAAAAAATTAACAAGCTCATGAAATATTTGCTAAACAATGTTGCCAGAGAATTTTTCTGATCAGATTCAGTGTCTTACCTTCTGCTGAAATGGCCTAACAGGAGTAAAAATGTAATATTCCCTAATTAAATGATCCTACACAGCAAATAAGAGTCTGGACACTTGTAACTTGTCACGTTTTCAACCGTATTTGGAAAATACTCAGCTGGTGTCACAAGATCTAATAGCAGTAGTTCAGTTTGTAAACCTGAACATCAACATTCCCCACAGTTCATTAATGCCTTCAGAGTAACATGACAGCTAAAGGGCAAATCAGCTTCTTCTGTTCAGAAGAGCCTCACCTGACAGAGTGAGTGGAAGAATGAAGTAGTGCTGCTTGATGACGGCAAAACACATCAAACCAGCAGATACAGGCCACCCTGGAGTTAAACAGTCTAATAAGATGATGTTCTGTTTCGAGATTTGGTTATTATTTAGTCCTTTAGACAAACACTGGAGAAAACAACATGTGAATCTGTTCTGAGTAGAAAGTGTGAGATTAACATTATTAGTGAATAATAAGGAATGTTCAGTATAAACACTTTTAGTTTCATTATGAGAACCACACAGAACTCATTCCTAAACAAAAGCAGAGACAAGCAGTAAGTTAATAATCAAGTTATTTGCTCAATAAACTTGTGATTTTATATTACATCAACACTAAAAATGAGATTATTTTCACATATGCAAAGAATGAACAGTTTGGCAAAAGGCATTTCTCATGACCTAATCTGTTGAGTGATGGGATTAAAACATCTGTAGAGCTCAAAAATAGCAATAATATACCCGACACCAATCAAGGAAGTCTAAAATCAATCATTGATTTATTTATGATCTGCCACATATCGACAGGTCTGCATGTAATTACATTAAAGGTTTTGATCACACATATTTGTGTTTCCAGTTTAGACTAATGGGGGATTCTTAACTCTTTTTGCAGCAAGATATGGACAATGATTAAACATCTCAGGAAAATAGTCAAAGTATTAATTATGATTAGAATAATAACATATCATTAATGTTTAAATAAAAGAATTTGATCTTAAATCAATTTGATTATATGATTATAATATACTACAATGATTATAGTGCAGTATATACATTGTACACCATCAACAGCAGTTAGAGATCAAGAACTTAAGAGTGTGCTGGAATCACATGAACACAAGCCTTCTGCTTTGACACCTTAAAATGCCAGGCTTACTATATACTAAGGCTTATCATTCAGTACCTACAGAGACATCAATGCCAACTGGCTAAACTGCTCTTAGGTTATAGAAGTGAAGAGTCATAGACTGAATGAAATGTGTATTCTACAAACGGCATCCCTGGAATAATCACTGCACTCAGTGCCTTGAAGAGTCCAAAACTTGTATCATTTGTCCCTGCTGAGAGAAAAGCTCCAGCTGCTGCTCCTATTAGTGCTGCTGTTCTGCCAAGCTTTCCTCCCCACACCTGATTTGCTGCCTCTCCATATCTCTGACCCAAAGCCCCTGCTGCAGAGAGGGCCACTCCTGCTGCTCCAAAAACCCCAATCAGACCCCCTAACCTCCCTCCTGTATTCACCATTAAAGAGGCTTCCTGGAGGGTCACTAAAACAACACTTCCTGCAGTCACTGCACCTGCACAGATTTTCCCTGCCCCCACACCACCATCACCACCAGCCTGGAGAAACACCAGATGCCCTACTGCAACCTCAAGTAGCTGTGTGGCCAGAATTACAATACCTGGAACCTTTTTGGCTCCATAGTTTTCCTCTGCAGACTGTGTCACTGCCCCAACAGAAAGCAGCATGGTAAATAACAGCAACAAAGGCAGAAACACAGCTGGAAACAGGAAATTATCTTGCATATCATGACCAATGAAGAGCAGATGCCACACATGAAAAGCAAACTGACAAGTGACAAGGAAAAAAAGTGAAAAGTAAATCCAGACTGTTGAACATAAGGTATAATGATGCATACACATAGTTTTCATAATTATAAATGACAAAAACAGACAAAATGTTAAAGCATACAGCTTAAAATAATGATGGTGGTGTTTTAGAACAATTCCAGAAAAAAAGCACAAGTAAGTGTGAAACCAAATAAACTTGAAGCTATCCCAGGAAATATGAAAGGTAAGTCAGTGTCAGACACTCCTTTACTAAAGATGGCCCCCATTGCAGCTCCACAGGCAGTGACTACCAGCAGTTCCACCGGTCCAGCAGCAGCTAAAGCTTTTGCATTGGCCTGCTGCCCTTTAATCCTGACCAGAAAGCTGTAGGCTCCATATCCCAAACCTATTCCACCATGTGATGAAACTGTGATGATCACATAACTCATTTCTGATAATGCTAGTACTGCAGTTTTGACATCCCAGCAATCACGTAATGATGGAACATCTTGAAGGTGGAAGACCGTTTCATCAATTGTTGCACCAAAGAGTCCCCCTGAAAACAGTCCTGAGATGAGTCCCAGTGTGACCGCACCAATGATCAAATGCAGATCTGAGGAAGACAGCAGAGCTTTTTATAGGTTTCTTTATGTGTTTTTGTTGTTTAGTGCTTAACAGTAGTTAGTCAGGATTAACTGCACTCACGACAAAACACAAACTGTTGTGAAAACCCTCCAATATTATCAAATGCTTTATCGCGTACTGTGAGGTGGGTGGAGCTGATGAAGGAATCCAGTTCTGTTCATTGAAGTTGTTCTGATGAGAAAACCTGAGTTACTTGATTTATATTGCTGACAAACTTACAGTGCTGTGCAAAAGTCAGAGACCCCCTTCCCTTGTTTAATTTCCAGTTAAAACAGACATGAACTACAAGTGCTTTTCGTTAGGAAAAAAAAACATATACAGTGCTCTCCGCAAATATTTGTACTGTAATTTTTTTTGCTTACCCTTTTGATCTTATAAAAATCTAAACTCTATTTGAAGCAAAATGATTGGAAGAAAAAAACTAAAGTAAATATTTTTCTCAAAAGTGTGCCACAATTGTTGGCACCCCAATAAATTTGTGAAGTGAAATCTAACTCAAGTATGTTTCCATTCATATGTTTTAAAATTCAGCTAAACATTTAGGAACACTTAAGTGGTCAGCCATGGCTTCCTGTTTCACTGGGGTATAAATATGAGGCGACATCCAGGCCAAATTCCCTCAGTCATCCATCACAATGAGAAAGACCAGACAATACAGTGATAACGGGTGGCCAAAGGTTGTTGAACTGCACCAGGAAATGGCAAGAAGGAATCAGCTGAACAGTCGAAAGTGGCCATTTCCACTATCAGGGCAATAATTAAGAAGTTTAAAGTGGCTGGAGATGTAAAGAATCTGCAGGGAAGAGGGTGTATGTCTGTATTGAGCATCACAGCTGGGGAACCGCAGACGGGCGGTCTTTGCACTGGGCAAAGGCAGGCAGCTGCCTTGGGCCCCGATAAGCCAAGGACCCATTGAAAATGAGATATCATATAAGATACACTGTACATGACAGTGTTAAACATTCCAAACTTTGTATACATTTTAAAAATAAGTGTTATATCTAAATGTAGCGATTACTTTCAGTATTTTCAATGCAGCCTCATTACAGAGAGGAGATCCATCGTATCATTTTGGGAAGTGGAGAAAACTAATAAATTTAAAATTTTTAAGTGTAGGAAAGAACCTTAAAAAAGAAGGAAAGCAAAAAGTTGCTACACTCCCAAAGCTAACTTTTTTTTTAATCAGAGCAGAGTGTTGCACGGACAGTTTTGCTCTTGTTTACCAGGGGGGCCAACATTTGTGGAGGGCACTGTATTTAATATAAAACTACACAGATGCTTCAACAACTAAATACACTTTTTTCAGTATTTAATATGTCCAGTGTTTTATCACAGCTTTCATTCTTTTCACGAGACTCACTTTCAGACTTAAAAGAAATCTGCAGGGATATTTTTTCACTCCTCCAAAGTTCAGCCTTAGGACTCAGTGTCAGTTTTGGAAAGTCTAGTTTTTTCCACTTATTTTCCCTTGACTTTCCCCTTTATGCAAGTAGATTGCCTTATATTTAATCTCCTCAGAAAATTCTCCTAAAGAAATCATATATTTTTCAGTTTTGACTGGAAATTAAATTGATAAAGGGGGGTTGTCAGTGTATTATATTTCCAAAAGCAGAAAAAGTATTTGATTGAGGGATCTTTAGCCTTACACAGACTGATGACTGCTTGGATCTAGGTGCATCTTCTCTTCAGGCTGTTCCAAATCCTCACCTAGTACAGAGATGAAGAGATGTTAGTGTTTTTTCTCTGATCCTAATTGGTGGGCTATCGTGCTCTGCAGACTCATACCTGTTCCCTGTTCTTGCAAATCATAGTCAAAAGACAACAAATTCCGCAACAATATTAGCTTTAAAATGGACCATCCTTGTGTATAGACTGGACGCTAGCATGATTTCTTAGTTGACTCATGTCCCCACTTGTGGTTAAGGAAAAATGCTATAGATTCCTAAAAAGTAACATTTGGCACTACATTAATGACAACAATAAATAAAAGATCAAAGAGATCACTGTTCCCCCTTTTATAATATTTTACATGATTTATTCAGTGCTGTTATTAAGTGTAGTGTGACAGAAGAACAGCATTTCAGCAACTGTGTGCAGCATTTAGTGTTTACATACTAGTGTATATCACAGCATTTCACTCAGACATTCTATCATCCCTTTAGCAGTGACCTGAAATATCTACTGAAGTTCTGCATTCAAAATGCTTGTGATTTTGTTGTATTGTTGTATAAAGTAGCAATCATTTTGATCAGAAGGAGCATCTTACCTTACTCTGCAGCAGCGTCTGGAGGGAGATGTGACTCTTCATATAAAATGATAATTCATAACCAGGAACCTCACACACTACTTTTGGTTTGCAGTCATTACAAATGTTTAGATTGTAGCATTTGAAACCTGAACATCAACATTCCTCACAGTGTCATGTAGTTTATTTATGATAATAGAATGGCTGAAGAGCAAACCAGCACTGACAGTTTACACAGAAAACTACAGCCTGCCATTAAACTCACTCAGTTCAGTTCCACACCGTACATACTTGCTGCCTTTGAAAGGAAACGGCCAACAGTGCCTTATTTCAGATGAGCTGGATGAAATTTCACAGGCTGACACTCGAA